CACACACACACACACACACACACACACACACACACACACACAAACTCTTTTTCTTCATTGTTTCTTCCGTAATCTGAAAACTGATATTCTTGAAAATTTATGTATAAATAAAAGAAAAATATAACTTTATTGACCTCAATCTAAAGATACTCTTCAATCTACAAATATTTTCAGCACCACAGTAAGTAGTCAACAGTAATGAAAGACCGCAATTGAATTACTGTTTTTAGGAAATGAGTTACTTCCTGTTATCTCTACACAGGGATACAGTGCTTTGTTATAGTGTATTCTTATAATTTGTACTGGAAGTCATGGATAAAGAGTGTTTTTATCAGGAGAAGAACAAGCCTCTGTTGTTTTTGAATCAGACAGATGAATTATTAATGTTTAGGCAGAGTGGTAAAATAGCTATACATTTTAGCACTTGGGAGGCAGAGGCAGGTGAATCTCTGTGAGTTCAAGACCAGCCTAGTCTACATAGTGAGTTCCAGGCCAGCTGGGGGCTACAGGGAGACCCTGTTTCAAAAAGACCAAAATATTTTTTTATTATTTTTATTTTATGTGTATGCATGTATTGCCTGCATATAGATAAGTGCACCCGTGTTGTGAAATGCCCACAGAAGACAGAAGAGTCTGTTGGATCCCCTGGAACTGGAGTTACAGACAGTTATTAGCTGCCATGTGGGTGCTGGGATTTGAACCTGGGTATTCTGCAAGAACAGTCAGTGTTCTTAACTGCTGTGCTATTTTTCCAGCCCCCAAATATCTACACATTTTAAGACCTAGCTGCCATCTGAAAATCATTAAAGTTTAAAGGAAATTGTTAAGATATTTAGGGCTTTCTTTAGTAGGGATATATTTAAGAATATTGCCGTGAAGTGTAATATTTAATATTTCAAGTTACATGCCTAAGTTCAAATGGGACTTACTATAGCTGTGGTGGTAGACATCTTACAGATGCTATTTCAGCAATTCATTTGTCATATGTCTTCTGTATCTCTTTAGCTATGATGGTTGACAATCCTTTACATTAAAATATTTCTATATTCATAATTATCATTAAAGCTCATGAACTACTTCCATAAAAAGACTATAAGTACACAGGAAATTGTTTTTGTTTTTTTTTCTTTTAATTTATTATGTAATTTTTGCACAGTGTTTATGTAGCAAATTGCACCCAGGTTAAACAAACACAACAAAATCAAAGTGGAGAGTGTTGGGTAAAATTTCTAGCACAGGAATTTCTGGCTAGAATGGAATCAGGGTAGCCATGATATTTATGTGCACTTTGTATTGGCTTGGACATTCATGAATACAGGGAGAAGAACAGACTTATTCTGTGCTGGGTCCAGGGAGCAATAAGCTAGAGTAGCCACGCCATGCACCAGCTGTTGGAAGGAAATTTTAAGCAGTGGGTGTTGTCAGTCCCACTGCTGATGAAATGAGCCAGCACTGATTTTCACTTGTATTTCTGGATCCTCTTCACATAACAAACAATTCAACACTTCTATTTAGTGTTCGTTAGTAACACTTCAGTGCTTCTGCACACCTGCGTGCAGGCAAGTTTTCTCTGACTTCCCTAAATTCCAGTTCTACACTGCCATTTCAGCCACAGTATTTTTCAAACACATCTTATTAAAGGGATGATTTTCTTTCTGTTAACTGTAAAAGAAGATCAAGAATTTTTTTAAAATTCAAAATCTATTCTCAAGGCTATTTTTTTTACACTGTATCACATTCCCAAACTGACAGTTTGTTTTTGCATTTGAATCATATCCAAAATTTTAAACTGAAGTCCAAAGGCTAAATAAGATCCTGTTTGAATGAAGATATTGCCTTCGTGTGCTAAGAGCTAGATATTTTCATGAAATTTATTATCCAACAGAATGATCATCTAGGAGGGAATAGTTTCTATCTGCTAATTAGTTTATACCATTTCTTATGAGCTTGGAGTACTCTGTTTTGCTGCTCATATACTACTGTCAAATAAGAACGTAGAGAGATTGAAAATAAATGAGTAGAAGAAATGATCCCTAGGAAGAAAATGAGGAGTCATCAATATATGTCAACAAATTTATGGTCAGTCCAACCAAGAAAACCAGTTGATTGAAAACCTGAATATACAACCACTTCTGCTAATGCAATTGACATACTTTAGAATGAGATTTAAGTATATTAAGAAGAGCAGAGACATAGAAATCTAATATTTCAAACAAATATATGTATGAGTCATGGTATTTGGAACCTGAAGTTTATATATAGTGGATACTCAAGCAACAACAAAGCACTTAAAGGTTTAAAGTTATATAAAAGTGATATTTTGGAAGTATATGTTTCCTCTAGTGGTTGATGACTTAGACACTGATTCCTTTGCTTTCCATTTAAAAAGGTTTAACGTAAGTTGTGCTCTCTCTTCTAAGACAGGTAGTGGTGATAGTGTGTCTCTGTTAAAATCCTCATCCAGTTTCCTGTTTACAAATGGTTTGTTCAGAAAGAGATCTTGAACCTTTTAAGAGAAATTTTGGTATAGCTTGAATTATTTAGAGTAGAGCTAATATGGTCACATGCCAATTGTTAGTCAATAATCATCAGGAGATGCTGAAGAGGACTGTTATGTACCACAGCTCCACATGCTGGTGTTTGCAGTGGAAAAGAAAGGCAGGAAAAAGCCAAAGAGGCAGAGAGAATGGCACAAGACACAGTGTCACCTTACTGCACGTCAATTAGAAGTGGGTAGACAGGCAACAGAGCCAAGCTGAGCAATTCAGACTTGAATCAGTACGGTTCAGGGTAGGGTATGTTTGTGTGTTTATCATTTGTTCTACCTAATTTCCAAGCCCAAATGGGAAATATGATATTTAGAGAATTCATCCATCACAGCAACACATTGTGGTTCAAAGCAGCAACATTACAGTGTGGAATTTGACTGCAACCATCCATATTTCTAAATAAAGAATGCTTCCTTTTTGGTAAGGGTTTGAGCTTGGCCAAAGTTTTGAAAATTTCTGTTCACTGACCCTCCAAGATTGTGTGTCCTGAAAAGCCAACTTGAACCACAAAATTGAGAATCCCAGTTACAGAGACAGTTGTCTGATGCTATTAAATATTTTTATAGACAACCCATTTATCTTGTTCTGATACTCTGCTCTCTTGTCTTTATGTCTATGTAGCTTACAAGCATGGAGTGGCTTTGATAGTATAACATGAGCATTTAATCTATTTGACAGTTATATATTTCAGTTGAATTAACAGGTTCTGAATTTCCGTGTATTTTCTTTTATGAGTGCACAATGCTTGCTGATTTGTGGACATTTTAAGATTAAACACACAAACAGTCCAAATGTCTTAAAAATAGAAGACCTGATTCTTTCTATTGTGCATTGCAGTCTGGGGTCCCTTTGGGGATGATATTTTTAAACAATACCTTACCTTGCTTTAATCAGACTTTTCTTTCAAATAAATCCAAATCTCCAGGTCACTAATTCTTTACTGCTTCTGTTTAAGTATCTTAGAGTAAGTTGGGAAAATTCTAAAGAAGAGGTAGCATGAAGAATTCAGTGGATATTAAAGCATCTTAATGGGCAGAAGATTTCTATCACTTACTGTGAAGCAACCAGAGCTGTTTAATAGGCAAATGTGCTGCAGAGTGAGGCTGTGAATCTCTGGAGGAATGAAGAAAGAGCTAGGCTGCCCTTTCTCAGGGATGCCGTGTGCTGCTGCTATATGGTAGACTGGATTATTTCAGACCTCTTGGTTCTTTGCATTCTG